ATCGTCATCACCATCATCATCATCATCGTCATCACCATCATCATCATCATCATCATCGTCATCACCATCATCATCATCATCATCATCGTCATCACCATCATCATCATTATCATCATCGTCATCGTTATCGTCGTCGTTATCTTTTATATCTCCAACACCATCATGGTCATTTTCACACTAAAAACGAAACCGAAACTACCATACAGGCACCCGGATCATCTACGACAGAAACTTCCTGATCCAGTGTAGGAATTCCCCACTATCGCAGACCCCCCCTACCAATCTCCCTCTCATTCCCGGGATCACGTGCCCAAAGCAGCTCAAGAGTCCTCTGTCGACCAGTCCAACAAAGCAGCAACATAATGGAAATTCCCACAACAACTATCATGGAAAAACCCAAAATCAGGGCAACAGCAGCAACAATCAGGATATCCACTATGGGAATTCCCCACCTCAACAACAACGCAACAATCATCATCATAATTACCGCAACAACAACAACAGCAACAATCGCAACAATCATTTCCATCAGCCAAAGAATGCCTCCCTGAAGTCCAAAGGTAGGACAGTCTTAAATAATATTATACATCAGGAGTTTGAAATAGAAACATTTTTCTATGAATAAAATAAATAATAACATTAATAATAATAATAATAAACAATTATAATAATAAACAATAATAATAATAATCTAGAATTCATATTTCTTTAGGTTTTCGTCAGGATGACAACCCACAGCAGTTCCAGATGGACATGTGATTGAATGGGCAATCATATGATGTTAAATTTTTTTTTTAACATTGTAGAGACATAGTATATAGCATGATTGGAGGAATAAGCTTTTTTTCGCTATTCTTATGGTATCTTCGTCGTTCGAATTGATACGTTGTGTATGTGACCAGGTGCTCAAGTACCTCGTACACACATACACAGCATTTTGTAGGAATTATGAATGAATAATAATAATAATAATAATAACGGTGTGTATTATATGATTATTGCTTTAATGTTGTTATAAGCCCCGTACGACCTGAAAGTAATTAAAGTTTTCCTAATCACCTGGGAATCTCTCTCCCTCCCTCTCTTTCTTTCCCTCTCTCTCTATATATATAGGTGCCTAAGGGGAAGTGTACGCAAATTTAAAAGTACATTTTCATTGAGGTACCTTCGTACATATTTCTTTAAAATGTTTCTCTTTACAACGCATAGTATAGTTTCTGCATGTTTGGTATGAACGAATGAATGAATTAATAATAGATGAAAGAATGAATGAATGGAATCTATTTATGTGTATATATATATATATATATATAAATATATATATATATATATATATATATACATGTTTTATAAGAAAATTGAAATTTTCTAAAAATTTGTGATACTGGACAATATCAATATTTTTTATTTTTTTTCCGAAAATTTTGATAACAAAGAAAGACTGTTGCCATGAAAATATTCATTCATTTGTTCGTTCAATCATTCATTCATTTGTTCGTTCGATCATTCATTCATCCTTTTATTGGTTTATTTATTTTACTAACTCATACAATCACTTTTACATGGGTAGACATTGTTATTACTAACTAATTAATAATCAATCAATCAGTTAGTTTATTAATTAATTGATTTTTAACTAATTAAATAATTTCCTACCCTCAAAAACACTCAGTACCGTGCATGAACACAAACTTCAAAATACATCCAATTTTTCTTACCCTTAATAAACTACTTCACACGCATACCAGGTTTTTACTGTCAACATTACTACATTAAAACAAAAAAAATCACATTCAATAGTTTTTCTGATGCGTTTTATTAACTACAAAGAAAAAACAGTCTGACATACATGAACAAAGACCAATAAAAACTTGAAAAACTAACGACCAATCCCTCATTTTAGTCTATTTTAATAGACAAATCACCTAAAAATGTGTCTACGATTTTAGTTATAAAGAATTTTTTAAAATTTTCATAATAAAGAAACAAATAATTATATCATTTCCAAACATAAAATCAGATTCTGTAATTTTGTAGGCGATTTCAATAAAGATTGATAAATACGTTTTTTTTTTATTTCTAACAAATGAAAATAAATACTAATATAATGTAATATTTTATTATATTAATTATATAATAAATAATAATTATTATTAAAATTTTCCTAAAGAGTAACGATAATAGAATGAAATACGAAATAAAAAATAGAACTAACAACATCAACAACAACAACAACATTAAATATTAATAATAAAATTAATAATGTAATAGTTAATTGTATGTAGCGATAAATATATACGTCCACAAATGGTTAGAAAAAAAATAAATAATTATATAAAAAAAGACAAAAACACCAATGAAATCAAATAGAATAATGAAAAAAAGCTCTTAAATGTTTTAACAAAACACACACACACACACACAGACACACGCACACAAACACACTTGTTAAAAATTGAAACTAATGTAACCAGTTTACTAAAGATAAACTAAGTTAAACCAATTTTTTTTACATACACTCAATCATATGCATGTGTTAGGATTTATATATACATATCTCCCTCTCTCTCTCTCTCTCTCTATATATATATATATATATATATACATATTGATACACACACACATGTTGTAAATATATGAAATTACTACTAAGTTACTACAATGTGCTTTTGCTATTAATACTACTATAGCTGTATTAATAATAAGTGTTCATTCAATATTGTAAGAATCATGAAATCACATATATAAACACATAAATATATATATAATATATATATTTATATATACATATATATATATATATATTCAAAGTTACATTAATCTTATGTATATCTAGAATTCTTCAAAACCACCTCAACAACTCAAAACTCGTTAGACTCAAAGACAATAGCATCAATGACAACAACAACAACAACAACGACGACGACAACAACATCTATAATGAGGACAGCATGGAGATAATGAAGATGGCATCTTGAATTGACAAAGAATGAACAAAGAATCCAAGAACAATGATAATAGGATGTTTTTTTAATGGCATCAATAAACAAACAAACAAACTTACATACAAACAAACAAAACAAACAAACAAAACAAACAAACAAAACATACAAACAAACAAACAAACAAACAAACAAACAAGTAAACATACAAATGAAACCAAATGAAACATAAGATAAACACTTAGTCATAGCCTCGGTAGACTTCGATTTCGTAAAAATTAATTAATAATAACAACAATAATAATAATTATTATTATTATTGTCATTATTACTACTCAGAAAATACACATATTAATTCGTTATCAAACAACATTTAACAAATTAAGCCAATAAAACACATTCATAATATATATATATATATATATGAATATTAATGAAGATAACTTATGTTAATGAGTCGATTTGGTGAGTGAATGAGTGAAGTCTGCGTAGCGCTAATGATATTAATTTAATTATAATGATGATCTAACGACGATGATGATGGTGATGATTTAACGATGAAGGTTTCAATGTGGAAGCATGTGACGTGACGATGATAACGAGTAAGATGTCAGTTTTAATTAATGTTAATCAAAAAGTTTGAGATGTAATTTAGTTAAGATTTATACAATCAGCCAATCAATCAATCAATCAAAGAACCAACCTACTAATTGATTAATTAGTTGATTAATTAACTAACTAATTAATTAATTAATTTATTTATTCGAACGCCTGTCTCAAGAAACGAGATTGCTCCATTATATGGGTGAACTTGTTTCCAGTTGCAGTGGCCGCTGAAACATGGCGCCCAATGTACCTGCGTAGAGGGGAATTTAATTAATTAAATTAACAATAAAATCTGAAACTTTGCTACCTGTGGGCTCTTACGTTAAACCACAGCAGTAGCAACAACAACAGCAGTAGCAACAACAACAGCAGCAGCAACAACAAAAATAGGAGTATTAGCTAACCCAACAGGCCTGCTCGAGCCCTCCCTCGCGATGACAGTTTCAAATCTTGGCTTGACATATGACCAGCCACCCTGGTTTTTGTGCTCCTCCTGGACCCAGAACACCTTGGCCTTCGAGTACTTCTCTAACTCCTTGCGAATCAGATCCATTGGGAATGGGCAAAGCTGGAGAGATTTATGAAACAAAATGGTTATCAATTCGAAAGGTTTTGATGAATGTTAAGTTAGGTTATATACAGAAACATTTTAATTGCTCATCTTAAACATGAATAACATAGATTAATTAATATTCTTCATTTATTTCATGAAAACTAAACACACACACAGGCACGTATATACGCTAACACACCTGTTCAACTCTCACGATGGCCACATCAGACAACCTCTCCTTCTGAGCACGTTCCTTGGTGAGCTCGTAATAAACCTTACCAGTGCAGAAGAGCAACCTTTTGACATTGTCAGGATTCTCAGAGGCCACACCTTCTTCTGGGATGAGTCGTTTGAAGCAGGTCCCATCCAGCATCATGTCCAAGCTGGATTTGGCCTCTGGATGGCGGAGCAGACTTTTTGGAGAGAAGACAATTAGCTGAAGAAAAAGAAGGAATGTCTTATAAATGCTGTCTTATAAATATAACCAAGTGAAGATATGATTTAACACACACACAAACACACACACACGCGACACATACATACACTACATACAAATTCATAATAAACACATCAACAACTTGAAAACACTATCAACAACATCCTCAATATCAAGTCCTAAGCCATAACACTCACAGGTTTCCTGAATGGCAGAAGTATCTGCCTCCTGAGCACGTGAAAGTAGTTGGCTGGAGTTGTGCAGTTAACGACAAACCAGTTGGTCTCGTGCAGTTGCTGAATCTCAAAATGCTCATTCTCAGGCTGTTGGTTTGTTTGTTGTGGTCATGTTCAATTCACACATCCATTTCTTCATAGTTTTAACATCCATAATATATCCATACATCATTTCATTCATCCATTAATCCATCGGTCCATCCATCCACATATGAATCGATGTATATGTGGATAAATGCATGCATGCATCCGCCCATGCACATGCATTACTAACAGGGAAATAATCAGGATCATCGTTGCACATTTGAAGGAATCTCTCAGGTCTGCAACTGGAGTGCTCAGGTCCCTGCAATATCACATCATCGTCGTCGTCATCATCAGTGTTATCATCATCGTCACCAAACTCATTGTAATCACATCATCTCATTGTATATAGAAATTCCTTTGCTATTAAACATTAAATGAAACTTAAACATTTATAAAGCTAACCAGCCAAACAAATGTCGATTTTGTAGCCAATCAACTGAGGACCCAATTAACCAATGAACTAATCAACCAATTATCCAACTCAACTAACCATGCCCTCGTAACCATGAGGTAGCAGGACGACCAGACCACTCTGCCTAATCCATTTTGCCTGACCACTGCTCACAAACTGGTCGAATATGCACTGGGCAGTGTTTGAGAAGTCACCGAATTGGGCCTCCCAACAGACGAGTGCATTTGGATTGCTCATTGAGTAGCCAAGTTCAAATCCTGGTAAGAAATTAATTGATTTAGTAAACTAAACAAACAGACAAACAAACAAAACAAACAAAAGAAGACAAACAAAATGTTACCAAGAACTCCAAATTCCGAGAGAGAGCTGTTGCAGACGCTGTACTGAGCCTGATCGGGGTACATGTGGTTCAGGGCATTGTAGGTCACTTTGTCTCGATTTTGATCGTGAAGAACGTGGTGACGATGGCTGGCATGTGAATTATGGATAGAAACATTTGAGAGGGTGAATGAGATGTGTTGTGAGGATGAATGATTGAGATAAGATTAACATACATTCATACACACACACACACACATACACACACACACATACACACACACACACACACACACACACACACACACACACAGGAATGAATATGTTATGAGGACGAACAAAAAATGAAATTGATTGAGCGGGAATTAAAATAAATTGTATCCAAACTACAACAAACTACACCACACACACACACACACACACACACACACACACACACACACACACACACACACACACACACACACACACACACACACACACACACACACACACACACACACACACACACACACACAGTACCACCACAAAAATTCTAACCTAAAGGTACCTCTCTCGACGTCCTGCCCACTCAACCTCACATGGATGCTCTCCTTAAGCAAGGAGGCAAATGCCATGGCTTCCCCCATGGCCCAGTCAATTGAGCGACTGGTCACCATATCCTTACGGCCTTTCAAGATACGTTTGATACCTGCAGATTGGTGAAGATACCGATGATGTTGCTGTTGTGTGTGTGCGCGCGTGTGTGTGGTGTTGTTACTGGCGTGTGTGTGTGGTGTTGTTACTGGGTAAGCAGACCAAAATACAAACAACAAGATCACACAAAAGCAAAAGATCAACACACAACATTTGGAACCGTCAACCAAACAAACGAAATCCAAACTAACCATTATGAACAACAAACTCTCCACCAGGCTCCTTACTGAGAACATCCCCAATATGTTGCAGGGTCTCCTCGGGAATGCCGGTGGGGATGAGATTCATCGGGTCCTTCCCGTCGAAGAATCCGGACCAAGGGGAGTCTAGCCAGAGTCTGTTCTGGATGGCTGTTTCCTTGCGTGCAGCTGCATACGCTTCCTCACATATTTTGTCATACTTGGCTACTTCCTCCTGTGTACAATTGTGTATGTATGCATAAGTATGCATGTATGTACAAATGTTTATGTACAAGTTAGTAAAGTATAAGAGGATAAAATTAGGTGTGTGTAGGTGTGGCACACGTGTGTGTTTGTTTCAATGAATGTATACAAATACTTGAGTAGATCTGAATGTGTGTGGTTCAGCTTGTAGTTAAGTGTATGTAAATCTAAAAAAAAACGACAGCATGTCTGTCAATACATTAGCCTGTGAGAAGCCATAGAGATGAAAAAATACACAGCACACACAAAAACGTGAACTAGCAACACCTCTACAAATACACACATACACTCTGAAAACAAATGGAAACTTCATACAGAAACACACACGTGCACAAACCTCATACTCTTTCTGATTGATAACACCCTCAGCCATCAACTTATCAGAATACTTCTTCAAGAGGACAGGCGTCTGCTTGATCTTTTTGTACATGAGAGGTTGAGTGAACATGGGTTCATCGATTTCGTTGTGCCCATTTCTACGATAGCAAACCTGAATTAAGAATAAACGATTCAACTATTAAATAATCAATAAGAAAAATAAACTAACCAATCAATCAACCAACCAATCAAATCACCCACCCACCAACAGCCGAATCAAATCACTCATCCAATCCCTCACCCCTCAACAACCAACCAGATCAATGACAACATCTTTTCCCCAAGTTGACCTCCACTCGGCTGCGACCTTGCAGACGTGCATGACGGCCTCAGGGTCGTCGGCATTGACGTGGAAGATTGGAGCACTGACGACACGAGCCACATCGGTGCAGTAGGGAGAGGAGCGTGAGAAACGTGGGTCAGTTGTGAAGCCAATCTGTTGCCACGTGTCGTCGTTGAGTAATTGAGGTTAATAAAGAACTTTGAACTACATTAAATGAATGACATCAATCAAAAATGAAAAATACTAAACCAGTTATTTACCTGGTTATTGACGACAATGTGTACAGTACCATGGGTGGTATAAGCAGGCAGGTCACTCAAGGTGAAGGTTTCGTAGACCACCCCTTGCCCAGAGAAGGCCGCATCCCCGTGCAACAAAATGCTCATCACCTGTTTGTTATTACAAACATTTCATTGACAATTTTGTTTATTTAAGTCAACCAACCAACCAATCAACCAATCAATCAACCAATCAATCAATCAATCAATCAATCAATCAATCAATCAATCAATCAATCAATCAATCAATCAATCAATCAATCAATCAATCAATCAATCAATCAATCAATCGCAATCAATCAATCGATCAGTCGACCAGTCAATCCATCTACCATTCAATATGGGCCAACTTGCCTTTTGTCCTTCGGTGTCACCTCTGTAGAATTGTTCAGCTTTTGTCTTGCCCTGAACAACGGGGTCACACGCTTCCAAATGGGAAGGGTTTGCTACTACAGCCAACCTGATTGGTTAAAAATTATTCAATTGAGAGCTCTTTTGTATAGTTTGATCATTCATGTATTAAGGTTTCAGGAATTCGAATGGATCATCAATCGACAAAGTGACCAACAAACCTGATGTTTTTATTGGTAGTCCTGTTGAGTCTCTCATGACTCATGCCAAGATGGTACTTCACATCACCACTGCCCTCGTCGGCTGCCTCCAACTTAGAGTCGAACTGACAGAAGATGTGCTCCAGAGGTTTGCGACAAACATTGGCAAGTACATTCAAACGACCTCTGGTTAGTAATGAATGAATGAATGAATGAAAGATAGATTGATAGATGGGTGAACGAATGATTGAATGATAGAAAAAAACTATTAATGAATTATTGGATGAATTTTCGTATGGACAGTTGATTGATTGATCGATTGATTCATTCATTCAGTCAGTCATACACAATAGCAACCTGTGAGGCATTCCAATGACAAAACTGTCGACCCCAAATGCACTGGAAGCATCTATTACACGCTTCATTGCAGGTATCAAGACCTCACATCCTTCCAAACCAAATCTGTACGGTGTATTTTGTTGTAGTGCATTGGGCTATGTGGAGGTATTTTGTATTAGCGTGGGAATTTCGTATTTTTTTTTTGTATTTTCATTTTAAATTTTTCATTGCAGGTAATACACAAATACACATACACACACGCACACACACACATTAACAGCTTATACAAATTTAGCGTAGTGCTCACAGATTACAGGTATGCAATATGAAGCAAAAAAAGGAAGAAAATATTATTATTGATCCATTCATTCATTTCATCTCATGTAATCTCATTCTACAGCAGGTATGGACCATAAATGAATAAATGATAGAAAGGAGTGCAGATAAAATACCAAAAATAGATCTACCTATTTGCATTACCCACACGCACACGCACGCACGCACGCGCAAACAAACAAACACAAACAAAACAAAAACATACATACATACATACAATATAAATTAGAACAAATGCAACATTAATAAAATAGAAACAAATCATAGAGAGCAATAAATTGTACTGAACAGTTAAGCCAAAGTTCTGGCTATCCCATCATCAACCAACCAGCCAAACATACAAAACATACATACATACATATAAACAAACAAACAAACATACTTACGCACAAAACATACATACATTTAATCAGACATAAAAACCACACATACATGCAAACACACTAAGCATACACACATATAAACAACAAACTAGGTAGTAGGACATATTTCACAACTACATTATACATACACACACATACATACACACACGCACGCACACACACACACACACGGTTAGACATGCATACACATAGTTACACATACATATACACATTTTTTTAAAATGTGAATGCATACAAAAAGATAACAATTATGCTTTTGTATTAAGACTATAATTTTATAACCCCCATGTTAGTAATTTTATTCACTTGCTACTTTAGTGCACAAACAAGGTAGAGCCAATATTTGGAATTATTTAATCCAGTCACGGCCACTTTTTTCATTATAACCAAAATTAATTTTTCAAGTCATAACCTCTGTCGAACCATCTCCAACCAGTTTTTAAAAATATAATTGTCTGTAAATCTTCTTATTTTTATAAAATAATAATTGAAATAAAAAATAGTATAATTGAAATAAATTCATTACCAGTAGGTTAAACTATTTGTTTATTTATCTATTGTAATAGAGAGAGAGAGAGAGAGAGAGAGAGAGAGAGAGAGAGAGAGAGAGAGAGAGAGAGAGAGATAGGGAGAGAAAGAGAGAGAGAGATAGGGAGAGAAAGAGAGGGAGAAAGAGAAGATAAAATTGAAAAAAGTAACAAACCTCTTCTCAGAAGACCACTTTTTAGCCAGAAACTCCTCAAACCTCGTCGACCTAATCAGTCTGGCCATCAGAGTTCTCTTCTCTTCGTTTGACATTTCCATAACGTGGGGCTTCTCGAACCTCTGCTTGATCCAATCTTGCTGCTCCAGATTGTTTATGAACATGTACTCCACGCCCAAGTGACGGCAGTAGATGTTCTGATTGGTTGGTGGATTGGAAAAATAAACTCTATTGGGCAAGGTAGATGCTAAATCAATTCGTATTGGTTGAATAAAAAGTTGGATAAAATTTTATTGGCCTATTAGAATGCTTGACAAATTTTTATTTGTTGAGTTGGTCATCAGATAAATTTTCATTAGCTGGAATTAGGATATTCCATGGAATTCCCATTAATCATACTTACAAAGGCAATAGCTGATTCAAATAAATATTTAAGAGTTAATTTGATTAGCAATAAATTGGTATCTATCTCTTGAGAGCCATAAATTTAACTACTGATAATTCTACATATTAGTGAAAGTTTGATTCATATACTATATAAGATATATTGATTTAATTAACATTGAAGCACACAAAACTTTATCAATCAAAAGTTCAAAGACATTCCTTGAAAACTTCTCTAAAGCCTAAATCCTCTCATAAAATACATAAGCAATATACATATACACATTTTTAAAACATGAAAGTAACAACAGCACCAACAAACAAAACTAGCATACACAAAACACACAAAACAATACCTCAAGTCTGCTAATAATCTCTCTGAGTGTCAATGAATGTTCATTTCCACCGATGTATGTTGTAGGCGGTAGTTGGAAAACTCTGTCCATGTCTGGCTCACCTGAAACAGACACAATAATGACGTCATAAATGACATGCAATGACATCAGTAGTACTGGCAAGCCTAACAATACAAGAGTATCCATCCACAGCAGCAGCAAGTATAGCATCATAAACCTCTTAGAAAAGCAAACCAAAATTATCTTCCAAATCAAATCCCATCTCACAAAATTCATAATTAACAATGACAGATGCAATAAATTTGAAAAAAATTATGAACCAACCTAATCTGTAATTGGTTACTCTAAGTTCAGGCACATCACTGGGGTCAAGATCGGCCTCAGAAATACCCAGTGGGTCCAACTCAGCCACATTATGCCCTCTCACCTGATTTGTAATGAAATTCAATATTAAATAAATAAATCAATTAACTTATCTAACATCTTATAAATGATTATCAGCCAATCAATTCTTAATAAGTGTTTTGAAATTGTAATAAATTTTGAATTTAAACATCTACAAAAATCTTATTTCAGTGCAATGAATGCAACTTAAACCCACATATGAACTACATTAAGCAAACTTCTAATTCAACATACAAACATTAGATTAATGCTTGTATGTTTGTATAATCTTTAATTTGAAAAGGGCAGATAGATAACATAATTGTTAAGATAATGACATTGAAACATTCAGCTATTCAGTTTCATGCAATCAACAACCAGACCATTTCTCACAACTCCATTTAAAAATCTATGAAACAATTACAATACTCTAATATTAAATCTAACCCACCATAAACCACAACCAAACTAGCACAAAATGTGAACGAAACAACAGCTTTTACAAAAACTTTTACAAAAAAATGAGAAAAACAGAAGAGAAAAATTATTTCACAACCTGAAATGACCTAATGATAGCTTGGACAGCAAGATGGTCATCAATCAACTTGGTATCAACACCAAAAGACTGGGCAGGGACTGCACCCATGGGCATGCCCTGGGGGACCAGGGTACCATGGTAGGGACTTGGAATGGGGGCTGAGGCATGGGCCTGTCCTGGTGCTGCACCACTGCTTGCATTTTTGAAGTAGATGTCCCATGACTAATATAGAAATAGATAGTTTTACTCAGGTTCAGTCTAGTGATTTGAATTCAGTTTAATATTGTTGATCCTACTTCTTAAATTTAGTTGTACATAGCTAGGGCCCAGTATTTTGAATGTAAAATAACCTATCATTAACATATCAGCAAGAAGTTTCAAAAAGCTCAACAAAAATGTATAGCTAATAAATTATAAGTTAGATCAAGTATAGAATAATCTTATCAAATGATTTTTCTACCTATTGATTTTAAACTTTAAAATTTTAAAAACCATCTCAAAAAAGCTCAACATAATAATTTAATAAATCATTTAATAAATAAATAAATATAAGTTATTAAAAGTTTGTATTTTATAGCAGACCTTGTGAACACTCTTGGGATTTTCCAGCCAAGCATTGTACATCTCTTCAATGTAGGAAGAGGAACTGCCATTTAAAAATGGCTCCTGAGCAACTGTGGCCTTGGGGCGATTGAAACTATTTGTCAGATTATAAACTGGCCTCTTGGCCAGTAGTGGCGATCTGGCCAAACGAGCAATGGTGCCGAAACTTCTCGAAATTAATTTTATTTGTAGCATGTTTTCTTCTTGGAGATTCTCCTAAAATCGACCTAAATAAATAAAAACCAAACAACTCTCACGAAAAATATAAATTTTTAAATTTGTAAACAACCAAACAAAACATACAATTTGTTTATCCTCCAATAAATATTTCTGTTACGACTAACGACGCTATGACGCAATAATAATAAAAATGAAACTAAAAACCAATTTTAGAAGTTAGCTAACACAATTTTTAATTATTTCCGATCTTTTATTAAAAGTTCGCTAGCAGAAAATCAGCCGACTATCAATAAGAGGAAGACTCTTACTTAGTTAATTAATTTCTAACGCTATAAAATGGGCGATATTATAATAAAAATGGTTAAAATTAAAAGCGGATGCGAGCAGACGAGTATTAACAGCCACCAGCCCAAGCCTGTAATGTACAGTAGGGAGTGTTGCACTAAGTAGTAATGAATAATCTCATTCTTACTTCTATTAACAACGTATTCCACTTAATCATTTAAAGACGAACATGATCATGAACATGACACGCGCGATTACTGATTGACGTCATTGTTAGGTTTATTTTAATGATTAACGTTAATTTGTTAATTAAAAATAAAATAATGTAAAAATTTGAAATAAGTAAGATATCCTAATTTTAAATAAATATACGTTCTATAGATCCAAAAACAGACGAACTGAAAAAACTACATTTGAAAAAAACAACTACCTCTGTGATTTATTGAAAAAAAGATGATTTTTTAATAAAGCTGTACAAAATCACGATAAATTTGATATAAACCAAACTTGGTAGGTTCTCGAAAGCAATGCAATACAGCGATAATAAAGAATTATAAAGGACGTAAGCCTAACCTTCAACTTTGACACGCCCCTTTAATAACCAATCAGAACGCGCAAAAATTCGTCATTAGCCAATAGCAGGTAAGTAGGTCGTCCTGCTAATAATTTGACACCGATAAATTCGTGGAAATATAATTTGGCTTTGAATTTAAGCCGCAAATTTTTGGCACGATTGGAATATTTCGCTCATTTAATTTATGAAATGGTGAATAACTGATTTAAAGGCTGTGACATGCCATTAGTAAAGCCATGAATCAATAAATCAATACCGCTTCGCGACAGTAATGCACGTAATGGCTGCTTGGTTCACTTATGTTTGTTCTTGTGTGGATGTCTTTAATAAATTATATATTTTCTTTTGTCACCTCAACAGACTTAAATTTTTGTTCTTCTGAATGTGTAAATGATAGTCTCATAAAATTAAACAACTTTGTGTATTCGAAATTATGATACGAATGATCTTAGTTGAGATTATGGTTGACAATGTTGGGGTTATGCTTCAATCGTGATTGAATTGAATTTAAGTGTTTATGAACGGTGTTTTTGTTAAAATCATCTTTACATCACATTCAACTGAAATACTATCCAGTATTGACGAGGAATAAGTACAAAGAGTCGCAAAGAAGAGAGTGATAGGGCAAATTAACTTTTAAATGGAAATTTACTTTTCGCTCTTTTCTTTCTTTGGTTTACGAACTTGCTTCCTTCCTTTTTTTGCTAAACCCCATCGTGGCATTGTATCTGGTTTGTATATTTTTAGAGTATTTGATGAAGCGCTACTTTTAAACATTATTTTTTATTTCCAAGTCATTCAATTTTGATTTATAAAATTTTAAAATGCAGATTAATCTTCATCGCATACTGATTGATCGAAATGTCAGGCGGTTTAGACGCACTCGCACTCCGTGAAGCCGATGTTGCTAAATTTTTGGCATGCGGCACCCACTTGGGAACAAGTAATTTAGATTTCCAGATGGAACAATACATCTTCAAGAGAAAGGCCGAAGGTATGCCACACAGCAACTTATTTTTACATGTTTTTAGTTGGGTCTCAGTGTTTGTGATTAACACTTTTTAATTTAAATAGATTCATAAATATAAAATAAATCTGTAAAAAAATTAACTAATTTTATAAATAGTTAATTATTAACTATTTATAAAATTAGTTAGACAGGCTTAATATTAAAATATAGTAATATTTGTAAAATGTCCATATTTATTTGTTCGTATTTTGTCTATTTAATTAACTAAAATATTTTTACACATTATTTATCGGAAATTCAAACTAAATCAGGTACATATATCATCAACTTGAGAAAAACATGGGAAAAGTTGCTGTTGGCTGCCAGAGCAATTGCAGCCATAGAAAACCCAGCCGATGTTTGTGTTATATCAGCTCGTCCTTATGGTCAGAGGGCTGTTTTGAAGTTTGCATCATACACAGGTGCAACTCCAATTGCTGGAAGATTCACTCCTGGTGCTTTCACTAACCAGATTCAAGTTAGTTGATTGTTTATTATAGTTGTCGATAGTTTTAAATTAACTTTCAACTACACACCTTGTGGTAAACTTTAAGTAACCAAATATACACTGAAGTTGTTATGTAAGAAAGGAAATGATATTAATTGTAGGCAGCTTTCCGTGAACCAAGACTGCTTGTTGTGACTGACCCAAGAACTGATCACCAGCCAGTGACTGAAGCTGCATATGTGAATATTCCTGTAATTGCTCTATGCAACACTGACTCACCACTGAGGTACATCGATATTGCAATCCCGTGCAACAACAAAAGCATCCAGTCCATTGGTCTCATGTGGTGGCTGTTGGCCAGGGAAGTTCTGCGCCTTAGAGGAACCTTGAGCTCTGATGTCCCATGGGACGTCATGGTTGATCTCTTCTTCTACAGAGACCCCGAAGAGGTTAACCTTTAAATTTTTTCACCAGCTCAAAGCATAGTGTATAATTAAGAGCTGTTATTTTAACTAGCTATTTAAAATGTTTAGAATGAGAAGGAAGAACAAGCTGCTATTGAGCAAGCCAAGGGACCAAAAGAAGAGTTTGCTGAAGCATACCAACCTGAGGTTCCATTCAGCACTGAGGTTTGCAACTGATCACTCTGCAGTTAACACTTTGTTATACGTTGTTTTCATTAACAATTCAAATTTCATTAACTATTATAATATTTGTTCTGATTATTTCCACTGTAGCAATGGGGAGCAGACTCGGTAGCACCACAGCAGCCAGCTTTTACAACCGATGACTGGTCAGCTACAGACACGGGCGATTGGTCGAATGCAGTCCCACCTGCGAGTGCAGCTCCAACCACAGAGTGGGGAGGCGCCACCACTGGCGAAGCTTGGGATTAAAGAACACTCGACCATCGAATGTTCCGTTTGCTCTCCTATCAGTTCTTTAAAGAATTGGTATGTTGTTATTTGTAACATGTCAGCAAAAGACGAAACTCACTAATCAGAGAAATTTTTTATGAAATAAAAAAAATAAACATTTTGAACAGTGTTATTGTTGATTTTAAACTACAGTGATACACGAAAATGATTTAACTTTACATAGATTGAATGATTAGTATATGAAGCAATCATTGATAATGTAACAAGTCTCACAGTTAATGGAAAGAAAATTATTCGAATGAAAACAAAAATTGAAAATTCGTAAAAAATTCGATTGGTGTTGTAGTCCATCTGTTGTTATTGCAATTTATAGTTTGGTGTGGTTATGTTGGCTTGTATAACAGCGTAGTCACGTATTTCTTCCTGTATCTGTGGGTGCCACTCATCACTATCACTCCATCCTATAAAAGTTAGAATTTTATTTGTATTTATTGTAAGACATCTTAATGGATATCTACCTATACGAGTGCATTTTCTTCTGATTAAAACTCTTAACTAGGAATTGACGGTCAACACGGACATATGTTACATAATTAACACCAATAACAAATGAATAAACTTAATTAACACCAATTTTTAAACAAACATTAAGTTAATTAGGAACTGAATAAATATCGCGTAGATATATTATCTCAGAACGTGTAAAGCTGTAGAAGACCTTGATGGAGAGAGCATAGAGATGGTTTAGCATGACGTGATTTGGTTCTGGTAACAGTGTAGGCTCGCACTTCGGAATAATAATTTATAGATTTATTCATTCACTAATAATTTTTTTAATATAAAAGTTAATTATACTGTTGAGTTTGTATAGTTATTAGGTTTGTATTTTGTATATGAGGTTTAATGATAATTAAATTTAGAGCGGTTTTTCCAAGATAATCAGATAATTATAATGATGGTTTAAAAATTATTTAAATTGTTAATTATTTGAAAACAATGACGGTGGAGCAAAATTTTACAAATTAGCAACCCTAGATTAAATTAATCACCACCTGCAAGGGTGATCCAGTATTTAGAATGACCTGCAAAAGTTGCGGTGGTAGCGTGGGAGGTGCCGTTATATTTGCCGAGTGGGATTTCGCCGGGATATCCTGAGTGTACGATCCAGGTGGAGATTTACTGAATCCTGAATTTGCGTTAATAGCGTAAACAATTGTTAGGCTGAAGCGTTTTTTTGTTTACTAGATCAAACACTAATTCTACTAAATCCTGAATTTGAGTAATGGAGTAAAGATTATGGAGTTGAAGTATTTTTGTTTGAAATAACTGTTGAAAATAAGTTAAGATGTCATACAATTGAAGTATTTAAATATAAATGACAGTGGGAATTTTTAAAAATAAAGTACTAAAATATTGTACAAATTCCGCTAAATCAAGATCAATTTTTCAAAAGCAAAAATTGTGTAATACAAATCAAACGTTACAAAAACGAGAAAATATCAACAAAATAAACAAATTAGAGAAAAAAAATTTAAGAAAATCATTCAATATAATTGGCTTACCTGATCTTGAAGAGTCAGCCCCCATGCTATCATGGGCCAGGGCTTCAAAAACTTCAAAATCTGATGGCTTCACTTCGAGAGTGTTGTACTCTTCACCATTTTCTTTCACTATCTGCCATGAAAAAATTAATAAACACAGGCTAATTTACATTTCTTTGTCAATCTATGGAGAATTATAAAATGATAAAAGTTAATTTCTCAAGTACAAACACATACCTCTTTCTTTTTATCACATGTCCAATGGCCATCAACCAGAAATTTATATTTGTATGTTCCTTCAGGTAAATTGACCACAGTGCAAAAATTGTGTGAACTGTAAAATTAGCAAATAGATCAACCAACCATTAAAAGTTATCATCTTTCCATGCGATTGTGTTGTGTGTGTGAAAATGTAGATATTTATATGCTTTCATTTAGTTTGTCTAATTAAACTTGTTTAATTTTAAATTCATAAAGTTGATATGCATTGAACATTAATTTTTTAAGGTAGGGTGTTTTTACTTTTTTTTCAGTTTTCATTTATCATTTTCTCAAAAACAAATTTCTTTTTTGTTAGATTGTTGACAGAATATTATCAAATATCATTTAAAACACTTTATGTAATCAAAAATAGTAAACCAAAAAATTTTATAGGTTGATATAATCACATTTATTCAGAAAAAACCCACACCTTTTAACCATGGGCAGTTTAGTTGTACCGTCATCAAAAGTAACAAAAACCGTGTGACAAGGATTATCCTTGTCAGTCTCCCATTTTATAACACTCGGTAACTTTCTAGGCTCGGTGTCTGCTGGATCTAAAGGTTGCATTGTATTTTCTGTGTCGTCAGAGCCAAAAAACATCTAAAATAAATATCCCATTTAATCTATAGTACTATTTTAAAGTGATTAGTGATTAGTACTTTAGGAGATGTGTCATATTCAGCATCTTGTTGTCCTGGATAACCGTGTATCTGCTTGGGATTGAACAGGGTTGGACCCCCATCATCCAATTGTTGCATTCTATCTCTTCCTCCTGTATTGCCCATCTTCAGATCAAAAAATTGTTAAGATATAGAAAAGAAATAATAAATTATTTAGTGTACCTGTCAAATTTATAATCTGAATGAAGAAAGTGTAATTTACCTTCATTAAAAATTTGAGACAATGAAATTAAAAAAACACTGTATTCTTCTATTAATAGAAAAGCAGTCATTGTTTTGTTGAAACTTTATTTTGTTACCTTGACTTGTTGATTTGATCCACACTCCACAGGATTCTTATTTTTCTTATAATTTCAGGAAAAAACCAACTCGCTCAGCTTGAAAAACCTCAAAATTAAAAAGATTCAGAAAACGATTGAAAGAATTAATTACTAATCTTCAAATTCGGCATTAATTCACTATAAAATTATTAAATTGATTCAACTCGACGGACGATTTCACTTTCGCAACTCGCTTCTCACTTGTTTTGTAAAGTTTTTTTTTAGATGAAAAATAATTTAAAATTCCTGTTGTAGAGCTTCATTTAATTTGAAAGTTTTAGTTACTTAGCTGCTTTTTATTATACATTTTGGCAAAACTTGAGATTTGTTTCGGGTATTATATAAATATTATAAAAAAATTTTAAAACAAATTTAAGTTTTTTGTAATTTTAATGTTAATCTTTCTGCTTTAAATTAAGAATTAAGGTCATAATTATAAAGGACGATATGTAAGACAGTTCGTTGCACTAGGGCGATATTACGTTGCTTTCGCGTTTTTGGACGGATTTTTTAGAGACCTACTTTTTCATATTTAAATAGAATTAGGAGAATTTTTAAAGTTTTTTCGTAGTTTTTTAATTAAAATTTCCTTAACTAAAATGTCCGGAGAAATAAAGCATCCGAAGACTTTCATGCAAAAAGCAAAAGATGAGCCGTTTGTTCCACTAGGTAAAATTTTAAAATTTTGAATGAAGAAAACTTTAGTTTTAAAAATCTTCTTTAAACTACACATATTTAAAAAGTTTATTTACTGGTTGGTTAACAGAAACTTGAAAAATGTTGTTAAATTTCAAAATTTTCACTTCTAGATGTGTTTATTTCATGATTATTAATTATTATAATACAACACACACACAGGTATCCTGGGTACTTTAGGTATGGTTGGGTATGCCGTGTCCCACTACAAACAACGAGGCAACATGTCATTGTCAGTGTATGTCATGCAATACCGGGTCATTGCCCAGAGTGTCATCGTCGGCGCCATGACACTTGGTGTTGGCTATCATATGATGAAGAATTATTTATACCCGGAGAAAAAACAAGATTGAAAGGAATATTTACTCTTATCTTGTGTTTTTGTTGTGGAGACTAAGTCGAAAAACTGAAAGGATTATTTATGTGTCTGTGTGATTGTTTGATTGTGTGATTGCCTGTTTCTCTTTTTGTGTGTGTGTGTGAATTTCATAAGAATATTGGTTTTGTTTAGCACTAAATATTTTTTTGTTTGTGATAAAATCTTGTTACTCTTAAATTTATATGAAAATTTTATTTTGATTTGAGGTAGAAAAAATAAATTCACAACTTGCCTATTCTGTTTGATGAAGAAAATTTGTTATTGTCATTTGTGTTATCTTGATTTATTCATTCTAAATGAGTTTATTCATAATTATAAATATATAACTCGTTATTACATCATTTTTAATGAAAACATTGTCAGATGTTTATATATTGTTTTGTTTTGCAATGAACTTTTAACATTTAGTTAATATGGTAAAGTTGTTAGAGATACTTAGTTATCAGCCATTTTAACATAGGAATTATTTTTTCTTGTTTTAGAAGTTTTAATTTTTATAATTATATTTTGAATAAATTTATAGTTTTGAGTTTTGTTTAAAAGCAAGTATGTCGATTTGGCAACGAACGTATTTGGCAAAAGTGTACTCTAAGTATTATCCATTTTATAATAAACCAATTAAGCTTTTATATATATATATATATATATATATGTATGTATGTGTGTGTGTACACACTTTTGTTATACATTTTTTTATATTTTTTTTATTAGTCTTTATTATTGCAGCTCTGACATACGCAGAACCACTTACAATGTTACTGATATATCATCTATATATCTTTATTATGTTCTTCATATCTTCAACCAATGATATGAAGCAGCCATCTTTTGCCACAAAGGCTGTTTGTTTATCTTTTTCACACGACGTACACATGGATTTATGTGCACGCGCAAGCACCTCATCATATACGCTGAGTATATGATAGCCATTGAGATGTTTGACTCACTACGCATTCGAGCCACTGAGCCATCTCGCCGGCCAGCATGCGACAACTTACGTCGTCTACCCATTAACCAACCCCGAAAGGATGGACGGCTGGGTTGACCGGGAGTCGGCTACCCGGATGAACCTGTAGAAACTGCAGAATTCGAACCCGGGTCGTGGAAGTGGTAAACAGACACGCTAACCACTCGGCCACATTCAATTGCACAAAACGTTTATAAGATGAAGTTTAACGTGAAGCAACGTTAATATGGATTAACTAACTAATTAATTAATTAATCAATGAAGGATCAATTAAAATCATTGCAAAGAAGTCTTGAATGTGTGAAAGAACATAAGAATGATGATAAAACAACTATTGTAACAATAATTATTATCGTTATTAATGTTGTTTAAATACTAAATAAAATTCACTATCAGAGAAACTAATAATACAGATAATGTGAAAGGTGCATTCATTCATTCATTCACACATTTCGTCACTTGATATATTGTAGATCAATTTATACTCTGATTAAAAACTATAAATATATTGTTGGAGAGAGAGAGAGAGAGAGAGAACGCAAAAATCCGCAAAGCGATTTTTTTATGTTCCTAACAATTGAGCACAAATAAAAAAAGATCATTTTTAACAATAAACTCTAATATAAAACTAATGTGTCAAAATTCTTTTGACGATCAATCAATCCAATCAATCAATAATACTCATCGTCGTCGTCATCATCATCACAGTATCATAGAGCGCCAGAGATTGTAGAGACAAGACGACAGTAAACTTTCCGTGTGCTCCAATACAGGCGAAGGAATACCTAATAATAAGAAAAATAATAATAACAATAGTAATAATAATATAAATAATAGCTCACCCTTGTTGACATAATCCAGTTCCTCTTCTTTACTGATCAGATAGAACTCCTAATTTTTTGAGGGTGAGAGTAAAAAAGCATAATAATAATAATAATATCAAACAATAATAATAAGGAGAAGAAAAAGAAGAAGAAGAGGGAGAATAACAACAATAATAATGTTTAAAAAATTCCAAAAAACTTCATACAATAAAACAATAACAACAGCAAAAGATAAGCACAAAGGACGACAAAATGAACAGGAACATGAGCAACAACAACAACGACGACAAACCAAATTTTTCTGCCCTTCATCCACTTTGAGCATGAGACAGACGTCCAGATACAATGGATTAAGAACAACCTGGAAGAAAGATTATTTATTTATTATCAATTATATTATAATTATTTAAATTATTATTATTTATATTATCGATATTATTGTTATTAATGTCGAGGGTATTATTATTTATTATATAAAATACGCGCGCGCGCACACACACACAAACGCACGAGATAGGTAATCTTTCCATTTTGGAACCATCTAGAGTTAACTGTCTCCTTATGATAGAGCTGCTTAACGATATTATTCATCGTGTCCAATGAGCATTCAGAGAATTGGGTCAATCTGGGGTCAATGTCGTAGAGGTCAACCCTTTTAGCAAGGTCAAGGAGATTGACGAATTCTTGGAATTTTAATTTCGCCATCGCCTGTTTTCGATTTGATGAAGTGATTAAAATTTGAAATTTGAATTAATTGTTCAAAAAACAAAAATTAATTAGATGATTAATAATCTAATTTCTTTAAAAATACACCCACCAACAAACACGCCCATGCACGCGCACATACACACACCACAAACACACACACACTCACAAGCATAAAAACACACAAACAAGCAAACAAACAAACCGGATCTTTTGATTCTTCCACTTCTCCAGTCTTTCTCCTCCTTTTCGATTCCTCATCTGAAGAAATGACGTCATCATCATCGTCGTCATTACCACCACCACTTTCTTCATCATCATTATCATCATCCTCATCATCATCACAACTAACCTGAAACGAGCAACCTCATCCAAAGATGATCTCTGTGACATGAGTTCCTCATACTCTCCACTAACTCAACTATGCGGGATCTGCTCCGTGATTGGTCGGTTGGTTGGTTGGTCGGTTGATTGGTTGGTAAGTATGTTGGTCGGTTGGTATGTTGATTTAGTTGGGTGGAATTTTATCGAGAATTTAATTTATAGATTTTTTGAGGGTTGATTTTATCGGATGTCTAATTGTTTGGAGTTTGACAAAATTTAATTGGCTGGCTGATTGACTGTTTAGTTGATTGATTGATTGACTGAATAACCATCATTTGATTGAAAGATTGAGAGAATAACGACAACGACAACCAAAAATAGCAGCAACAACAACAACCAACAACAAAACCAACTTGGCTATATTGACAACAGGCTGTAGTATGGTGTGCAATGGCAGCTGATGCCAGTTCGAGTAACCGAGGTAGTCTTTCTGCTCACAACGAAATTTCTCTGCCAGCGACTTTTCCAAGAGGTTGAAATTTATTCTAGAAGGATCTGCAATAGTGAAGATGATGGTGAAGATGATGGTGAAGATGATGGTGAAGATGACCAAAATGACAGAGATGAAGTAAACGATCGACATTTCATTATCGCTTTCATACCCGACATCATTATCGCATCCTTCCACTGTACTCAACACAATCATCATCAAGGACACCATCATCGCAATCATCATCAGCATCATCGTCACATGAACGGGTGGTGGCCAGCCACACACTCACTGGCACACTGTTTGGAAACATTGACAGCAGTGTACGAAGTTGGCGATGGAGATGCTGTTGTAGACATGGACCTCCTCTTTTTATCCATATTATTCTTCGGATAAATTTGAAACAGGTTGGTCAAAACTATCCAAAACTTCAAACTGAAATATGATTGGCTGCCAGAAACAGCTGATCTAGACGGGTTAATAAAAGTAACGGGAGGAAGTGAAGAATCGAGAACCAACAGGAGACCGATTTCGAATCCCTTCAATAGCTCTTCATTGACGCTGTACAGTTTGCACTCTTCATTGGTTGGTTGGAGGGTGCAGAGTAGGGCGTGTTCTTTCACGGAGGTCTGTGATTTGATTGGTTGCTGCTATAAATAGAATATCTATGAACGAATACGTACACATTAACGGGCATTAACAATTACACACGCATCGCTACCATCCCCATCATCACCATCGTCATCGTCATAACGAGCAACATCTTCATCTACCTCGTCACTGCAACAAATGTTAAGGTTCATTGGGATGGATTTCATGAAGGTTTCATGCTCATTCATGTAGCTGAAGAGTCGCTGGGCTGTGTTCGCACCACACGACAGCCATAAAGATTCTGTTGTTGGGAAATTTTGTCTAGAATATTGTACAAAATGTTATACAAAATGTTGTACACAATTTTGTACACAATTTTGTAGACAATATTTTAGAGAATACCGAAGAAAGAGAATGCAAGAAAGAAACATCCCATAGCAACCTTCGTGAACGTAATTCCAAGAGAACATAGGTTCGTAGGGGAAATAGTTCACAACTTCCTTGAGGAACCTCGTCAGGGGGTACTGAGGGGGCAGCAGGGTGGAATCAGAAAGGGGGCACTGAATAAAGGATTGGGTGACCCGGAGGTGGAAGTCGTGGCAGAAAGAGTTGAAGTGGAGCATTTCTTTGATGCGGTCGTATTCATCGGTGAAGATCTGGCAGTGCTGTGTGCGTGTGTGGATGGATGGATGTGTGTGTGTAGGTGTGTGTGTGTGTAGAGTGTATGTGGAAGATTTTAAATGTGTGTGCGTGTGTTCGTGTGTGTCGGAATCTGCGGATGTGTGCAGGGGAATGTATGGATTTGTAATTAAGTATTGATCAATTGGCTCATTAATTAATTCATCAAGTTTTTCATTCATACATTCATCATTCAAACACTTAATTATCATTCATTAAAATGCGACGCGCGCACACACACACGCACACATACACACACACACACACACACACACACGCACACACAATTCAGCCCAATTCACACTAACTTGAGGACTGAAGGAAAAATTGTACGACGATTGCAAGGATGCCGGCATCTGATAGGCGTAGATAGTTACACAGAAATGCGTAGCCAGGAAACCAACCTCGACCAATAGCATTCCGCCCGGAAGTGCCTTCTGCAAGTAGGTCACGTGGTTTAGAGATGAGAAGGAAGAGGAGGAGGAGGAGGAAGATGAAGCGTGGTGATGATGGTGATCCCTGGAGAGGTACGGTGGAGTACTTAATTACTTAATAAAATGAACGAATTATTGAATGAATGAATGAAGTCAGTCATCATCAATCACCACTTACTCTTTCTTATCAGCAGCGGCCGAACTACCACTGCCCATACTAGCAGCGCCGACAACAACGCCACTCGTAGCTGAAGCAATCGAATGACCCAATGACGTCAGCGATGTGGACGAAGCGGAAACGGAAGATGATGACGTCGATGAAGATGAACCTTTGCAGGTGACGTTGAGGCGCGTGAAACAAAATGGCGCCAGGTAATTAACGTATTCTCGGCACATGTGCATGCATAACTTTTTCTGCCATTCAGGTTCTGTCACGTGATGATGTCGATGATGATGATGAGGAGGAAGAGGAGTTGGATGCTGCTGAGAACCAGGGGCTTGTTGCTGCTGTTTGGCTGCCAAAGTGTCCAGCGAGACGAAACTAGAAGTAGTAGTGGTGGTGGTGTTTGTGGTGACGGCTTGTTGGCCAGACGTCATGGTGGTGGTGGTGGTCTGCTGGCCACCGATCACGGCTCCTTGAAGTTTCTTGCGGTTGTCGATGCTGTCTGATCTCTTGCTCTTCACACTGGAGCCTGAACTGTGCCTGGATCGCTGTGACGTGTCATGTCGCGAAGATGATGACGTCATGAAGATGATGACGTGACGAGGATGATGACGTCATGAAGATGATGACGTCATGACGATTACATCAAAAATTGAAAAACAGCCACCAATGAAAGTAGTAACAATAGCATCTGCGATATACAACCACAACTACAATAACAACAATGACCAACCAGATTCCTATCAAATCCAACACCACCAGTAGTACTACCACCACTACCACTGCCACCACCAGCCGTCTCGAGTGTCTTGGAGTGGCTAGGAATGAAGAAGGAGGAGTCAGTAGAAAGTGGGAATTCCTGTTGCCAGGATGGGCTGAAGAGAAGGGGTGACATGACTTGGTGGACCACCCGCATCGATTTCTTTATGTACATCAGTTCTGATTGGTCGATCTAGAGTTGGTAGATTTATGAAACGAATAACTGGATTGGCTGGATTAAAATTAGCAACGTGGAAGCATACGCACACATACAAACAAACACTTACAATACGCACACATACAAACAAACAAACACATACAATATGGACATCGTACAAGCATACACGCACACATATAAACAAACATACACACACACACACATACACACACGCATACAAAACTGTACACTAACATTAACGTGTGATGAATAAACAGATGGCGGTCTTTGCTCACAAATTTGATGCAGACGTAGTAACTTTTCGCGCCTTTCCCTTTCTAGAATGACCACATGATGTTTACAAACATCAAAAATAAAAATTTATGACACAAGTGATTTTTTAAGGTTCTCATCTTCCATCTCAGGACCACCACCACCACGACCACCATCATCATCATCATCACCATAACTAACCTAATTTTTCATCGATCCTCATCTCCAGAACTTGCTTTCCCTGCTTAAACAGGCCGTCATTCTTAGTCTTCTTAAAGTAGGTCACGAAAGACTTCTTATGCAGCGGAATTGCCGGAAAGTTATTTTTAAAAACTAGGTCAACCAATGGCGTTGAAGGTAGCTGGTTGGAGTTTGTGGTCAAGAGAGCGCCTGATTTTGAGGTGATGTTGCTACCGCTACGATTGCGCTGCTTGGCGATGTTCATTGACTGTGGTCGTGTCGAGTGGCAGATCAGCTGCTCCAAGTCGTCGGCGTTTGTTATGTGGCTGTTACTTGTGTCCTGTGTGCGTGTGCGTGCGTGTGAGTGTTCGAGCTCATTTAATTTCAACTAGATGTTGAATAATTAAATAATGTGCCATCAACTTAGCTGGTTTATCAACAACAACAATACTACACACACACACACACACACACACACACACACACACGCACGCACGGGCAAACGAAGAAATAAACCAACAAAATAAGCATGATGAAATAGGCCCATCTTCTGCGACGCAATGCAGACGAGCAGATGGCTCCTTGAATTGTGCCAGGCTATCTGGAGACTCAAGTTCTTCTCAATAGCGTTCGACGTCTCTTGGCATATATTGTACTGGTAGAGGGTTATCTGGTTGGTTGGTTGGTTGGTTGATTGGTTGGTTTCAGATTGATTGATTGACAAATTGATTAATTGGATCGATTGATTAACCGATTGATAAAATAAAAAAACTGCCAGAAATAATCAGCCAATCAAAAACAGCCAGCTATTCAATTAACCAGCCAATCAGAACAGCCATCATACAGTTAAACGAAGCAACCAGTCACTATCTATGACAGCACAACAACAAGAGCAGCAGCAAAAGCAGTAACCACAGCAGCCACAACAAAAACAGACCACTTTATTCTTAATAGTTATCATCAGCAGGTATTGCCTAGGGACAAAGAGCTTCTCTGAATCTCTAAACAGCTGAAAACCAGCTACTGTAGCTGATGCGTTGGCAGTTGTATTAGCTGTTGTGGTAGCTGCACCATCCATCCTACATTTGCTTACGTCATCAAGAGGAACGAATTTTTGATAGGGATATTTTTTGCCTGGACAGTTGATAAGGAAAATAGATACACACTTCATACATTATTATCCTTACTAGTAGTGTAGTAGCATGTTGTTGTGCTATGACAGGCGCTCTGAATACAATACAATACAATACATCACAATAATATACCACATTCGATAAATACGTTACGATACAATTCGATACGATACGATTCTATTCGATACGATACGATACAGCACCTGCAAAAGCAACTGATTTGGAGGATTGTATGGAGGCACTTCTGACATTCTGGTGCTGTTGTATCTGCTGTAACTGCTTTTGATGGTGCTTAATATCCAAGCTGTTACGCCATTGGTTAACGTTTCGACCAATCATGACGTAGTTATGACTGCTGCGGCTGTTGATGACGTTGCTGGTGTTGTGGTTGCTGTTGGTCTCGAGACTTGAATTGTTGCAGGAAGATGACGATGCCTCGTCTACGCTGTCTTGTTCCTTTAACTGTGATACGTCGAATTCCATCCAATCCATCCATCCATCCACCCATCCATCCATCCATCCATCCTCATCATCATTATTTTTACTTTATTACTATCATCACCATAACTCCATCATGACCATCACTACCGTAACATCACTATCAGTACCTACCAAACCCCTCCTAGGCAAGAAACTCTCATAACTAGTTTCGCTATTGTGAGCGTTCGTGGGTTTTTCCCTGAAGTAGACAAGATCTATTTCTGGAATCTGGTTATTTACGATGTTGAGGATTTCCGCGAGTATCAATTCGACAGCTGGACTGCTTAGCAGCGTGTACTGCTGCTTGCTTACCGATGGTGCTTCTGATTATAAGGATGGTGATGATGATGATGACAGGAATGACGATGTTGATGATGACGACGGTGATGATGATGATGGTGATGATGATGTTGATGATGATAGTAATGACGATGGTGATGATGATGACGGTGATGATGGTAGAGTTATCGTGATGAGATAAATCAAAAATAACTAGAAATTAAAACTGAAATCCTAACCGTGCTTAGAGCAGAAATCCAGCCAATCAGGAATAGAGGTGGCGAATATGTTGTTCAACAATCCTTTGCTGCCACTCTCATAGGAGTTTATCTTTCTCAGTAACTCGATATCGAAATCGGAATCGTCGGTAAGTTTGTTGTCGGTATTTCGGCAAACCGATGTCAGAGTCGACGATGACGTCGTCGTCGGTATGCTGCTGTTGCGCTGCTGTTGTTGCTGGAAGTAATCCAGTGGATTCTGGTGGTCATTGCGTTGTTGTTGTTGTGCGTGCGTGTGTGTGTGTTTAGTTATTAAAATATTTTGTTGTTGTTGTTGTGTGTGTGTGTGTTTAGTTATTAAAATATTTTGTTGTTGTTGTGTGCGTGTGCGCGCGTGTGTGTTTAGTAATTCACATATTTTCTCATGTCCATATTTTGCTATATTTTCTTCTTCTTCTTCATCATCATCATCCTAGTCATCATCACCACATCACCATCACCCTACCCACCTCCATATACGGTCCGGAACAGTCAAAAGTGACAGGCCCGGATACCCTGCTAACATCACATCCCTGTTTTTCGGAGCCCCCAAGGAGGGTGCTGATGGACGACGAGGTCTCCTTAGGTGTCTTCAATATCGACGATCGGCTGCTATCATAACAGGACTTGTAGTAGCTGCAGCTACCGCTGCTGCTGTTGCCGCCGCCACCAGAGCTGCTATCTTGTGGTAGTTGCTGACTGCTCGAAGCTGATAATGATAATGATGATGATAAGAATTAATGAGGAAGAAGAAGATGATGATGATAAGAATGATACATGAGATGGCAAATGAGTACGTAAAAAAAAATAATGCATGTAAAAGTCATTCCAACCAACACTACAGACACCCAACTGACCACAAGTAACAGAGACGACTCCACAACTCCCGACAACAGCAGAAGCAGTCCCGAGGGCACCACCCCCGTCACTGGTGGGCACGCAAAAGGTGGGCGACACGGGTGCCGAATGGAGTGGCGAGTTGATGCCCTTGATATAGTGGGCGGGTATTTGAGAGATTGGAGAGGTGAGAAGACGATACTCGAGTAGGAGGTCTAGTACAGCGTGTTTGATGCAGTTCTCCAGCATCTCCACCAACAGCTGCATGTTCAGTTGGCCGCACTCCCATATTGCGAACTGGATGAGGCTTGTCGGTCCTTGAATGAGTGAGTGAGTGAGTGAGTTAGTGAGTGAGTGAGTGGGTGATTGTTTGCATTCTTAAAGTATTATAAACTACGGCGAAACTGAGGAAACAATTAATATAAACAGTTGATTGATTGTTGACAGACCCAAACCAGTATTTTTTTTACAATCGCACTTGGTTTATACAATACAACTCAGAATAATATAGATAAAAATCGTTAAACAAGTAGGTACGTCGTTTCATTCGATTCAAATGAATTTTCTAACTAACTTGCTAGATAGACAAGTGAATCGAATTCACACTATGCTATAAACATTTATACATGTTCAGCACATGAATGTATTCTAAAAAAGTTAATACATCCCACATAAACATCCATCAATCAACCAACCAGCCAACCAACCAACCAACCAACCAGCCAACCAACCAACCAACCAATCAATCAACCAACCAGCCAGCCAACCAACCAACCAGCCAGCCAACCAACCAACCAACCAGCCAACCAACCAGCCAACCAACCAACCAACCAACCGACCAGCCACCAACCAACCAGGTGACTTGGAATTAGGGTCAGGTTCGTACTTGATTGTCTGCAGGTAAGCTTCGAACACCGACCTGTCCAGAACCTCGTTGTAGGCCACCGGACTCGGCTTGGGCGAGCCTAGCAATTGAACTTGCTGACCCCTGCCGTCAACAAATGCTAGATGTATGCACGCTATTCCTGAGTGTGTGTGTGTGCGTGCGTGTGTGTGCGTGTGTGTGTGTGTGTGTGTGTGTGTGCGTGCGTGTGTGAATGTGTGCGCGTGGAAGTATAAAAACGAAAAACAAACACAAGCAATAACAACAACAACGACAACAAACACAAGCAACATCAACAACAACAACAAACACAAACAACAACAACAAACACAAACAACAACAACACAAACCTTTGCTGCCGGCCTGCTGCGGTGTAACATGCAGAAATATGTCATTGTCTTGTTGCATCTGGATTGTTGTTGGCAACGCTGTTGTTGTTGTCGCTGGCAACGATGTTGTTGTCGTCATTGATGTCGTTGTCGTCGTGGCGGGGAACAACGGGGCAGACGGAAACAAAGCGACAGGCGTTTGAGAATGCTGTGGTTGTTGCGGTTGCTGCTGTGTCGCGACGACACTTGATGACGTCGGCATGAGGGGCTGCAGACAGGAAGAACTTGAATCGTAAGCAGATGACGTTTGCGTGGGTGGGAAACTCGGTGTAGAATGATGATGATGACGATAAGGTGGTAAAAGGGGTGGGGGTGGTGGAGGCGGAGGTGGAGGGGGAGGTAGGACAACGGGAGGAGAACTATCAAACACAACATTGGATGACGGGCTAACTTTCGGAGCAGTTTGATAGGGCTGGAAGAGATTTTCAGGTGCGCTGGGGTGAGCATACTTTGGAATGATGAACTGTGATTGGATGTTTTGACGCAAGTAATAGGAGAAGGCGTATTGATGTAGGAGTGCCGAGTTTGGAAAGAAAAACTGGACGACGGTTGTTGGGGCTGAACCGGGTTTCTGAATGAACTGTTGGAGTTTGTTTGCTTGTTCTAGCATGCTATCGTTTTAACCAGTGCATACATTCCTATTTTGTACATCACAAACTGCAAGATCACCGTGCAAAAAACAACTACCATTCAATTCTCCATATTTCCCAAAATCCCAAATCCAATTCTATAAACCCGCAATCCCATTCTATAATCCCGCATTCCCCATTCTATAATCCCGCAATCCCATTCTATAATCCCGCAATCCCATTCTATAATCACGCAATCCCCATCTTATAATCCCATTCTATAATCCCGCAATCCCAATCTATAATCCCGCAATCCCGACCTGAACATCATCAGCAGTTAGATTCCCACTGCAGTTCCTAGAGATGAACATGTAGATGGCGTCTAGCACGACCTCATCCAACCTCTTCTGCATCCAGTCCACCAGATCCACACATATCTTGTTGTCTTTTGCACCGGGAATTAAATTAAAAGTTCATTTAAGTTGAAATTATTTACTAAAGTAGATAAAAGTGAAAATTGAGTTGAATATATAGTAAAACCAACAAACGAAAGAGGAACACAATCTATTAATAACAACACCAGCAAAACTAAGATAAGAAACTCACCCTCTTTTCCCCTCTCTCTCTCTCTCTCTCTCTCTCTTCTTTCTCCCTCTATCTATTTCTCTCACACACACGTACACACACACACTCTCTCTCTCCTCACACAAACACACGAACACAGACACGCACACAGACACGCACACAGACACGCACACATACAAACCTGGTTGACAGACGCCAAAGAGCGTAAGAATAACTTTTTCATCATGCTTCGGCTTGTTAAGTATTGACTGGTTCCTCTTCATGCTGCTGGGAGGTTGCTGCAGTGGGTTCGAAACTGTTGAGCCTGTCGTCTGGGTGGTCTGGGAATGAGGTGTCAAATCCGAGTCGGATGTCCCTGACGTGGGGGTCTTAGTTGACTGGGAGGAGGGTAAGTAGGGTGTATGTGTGTGCGTGTAAAGTTTCTATCATTCATCATTTTGATCATGATCATCAAACCCACCACCACGATCGTCGTCATTCACCACAAACCTCGCAATCTTTAGCACATTTCGTTGCACCTGACGTATCGGCTTGAGACGACGACATAGCTGTTGGCATACGAACAAATATAAACTTACACCACACCCAGTATGAGCGTGTGTGCGTGCGTGTGTGTGTGCGTGCGTGTGTGCGTGCGTGTGTGTGCGTATGTGTGCGCAAATTCATATACAAATTCTCAGATAATAATACAAATATCTTAACAAATTGCTTACTGTCTATTGACTGCTGCTGTTTGGTTTCTTGATCCGTTAAACTGTTCAAGGAATTGTGGATAATGAGTGTAAAAGAGTTAATGGAATGCACTTGCACATGCACATACATATAGGCACGCACGTAAACTCGCACTCACATGCACAAAAACACATAAAATCATAACGACATTGAAAATATGATATTATCACAACAGCAGCAACCGAAACACAACTATAGCCACATATACCTCTAAAACCACGGCAAATCCAACAATAAATATAACACAGTAGCAGCAGCAGCTATTGCAGCGGCAGTCATAGCAGCATCAACTTCAACACAACAAAAACAACTACAACAACAACAACAGCATCAGGTACCTAGCGTAGAATACAGAATTTGTACCATCAGTCAGTACGAACACATTTGTACGATTCTTAACCGAAAATGGCGTCAAGTAATTACGTAGGCGGGTTACTCCTGGTTATGATGACGACGACGATGATGATAATGATAGCAGCAGCAATGATGATGATGATGATGATGATGATGGTGGTGGTGATGTAGTGGTAAAGATGATGAATGAGAGCTAGATGATGAAAATCATAATCGTCATCATTATCATAACCATAATCATCACCACAATCATCATCACTCTTAACCTCCTCCAACGACAACTCCAGGCACGGATTTAGCCGTCGTTGTACTCTTTAACCTCGGGTGGATGTCAAAGACGAAGGTCCAGACGGGGTCGCAGGCGAAGTGACCCGGTTTAAATTGGGTCGTGGCCGCCAGGTAGCTCTTGTTTTGATTGGCTGGCATGAAATCGTCGTCGTCTGATTCGCTGTCTTCGTTATTTTGATAACCTATCAAAAAAAAAATAGTTTCACAACTCTTTTTTAAAAATTAAAAAAAGAAATCGAAATTCAAAAAATGAATTATTAGTGGCGAATGACTTTAACACTCATCTAATCTAGATATCATTAACATACATAACATAGATTATATTAACTTTAATCAGGTCAAGTTAATAATAAATTGACCTATTTACATACTATTACACAACGCGTAGCCAACTTAACACACTGTATGAGTACGTAATGCGCACTGCAAGTATGTATAGCCAACCTCCTTGTCTAGAGAAGAGAGTTGGAGATTTTTTCTTGGTATGAGTCAAGCCGCCAAAACCGCTACTACTATTACCACCGACGACGTTGACGCTGTTGTCAGCTTCCGCTTTTGCACCCTTCGACCATTTGACATCCTCGTCTGCTTCGGCGATTAAAAGTGGATTGCAAGTTTTCGTCTGGTTCAGATCATCTAGAAGAAGTTTCTGGAAAATTTTGAAATTATCTAATAATTAATACTAATAATAATAGTATAATATAAATATAATAATAATTAGGTTATAATAATTTGAAAGTGTAAAACAGCGAAAGCGAGTCAAAGATTATAAATATGTAATTACGAAAAGGAGCCACCTGATTGACGTAGTGGCATATCTTCTTGATGTTCTCGACTACCTGGCAGTTGACGTCCAAGTACCGCCTACTGACATCCGCCCTCATCAGGTCCCTGCCGTCCATGACAGGTGGAGAAGTGAAATGAATGAATACGTGAATGTATGAATGTATGAATGAATGAATGAATGAACGAATGAATGAATGAATGTATGAATGAATGAATGCATGCGTGTAGGAAAGAAAAAATGGCTGAATGAATGAACAAATCAATGAACGACGGGCGAAACAAACGAGAAATCGAGCAAACGAACAAATGAAATAAGGATAATTAAATGAATGAACAATGAATGAATGAACAAATGAACGAACGAACGAACAAATAAATAAATGAATGAATGAATAATTAAAATAATTAAAACAGTATTGAGCAAACCTCTGACAGAAGCAACAACAACAACCAACCTGTAATGGAAGTAAACGTCGACTTTATCGCTGGCGACCCTTAGAATCTGCCAGAACTCTGGAACCATCAGTTTCTTCCTGACCGTGGAAAGATGATGACTATCTGACGTCATCATCATGGCCGCGTCCTCGTCTAACTCACTCGAATCCGCGTCCGCGTCGTAACCACCTGTCAATGAAACAAAGGAGGAATAGTAGATAGTGGAGAGAGAGAGAGAGAGAGAGAGAGAGAGAGAGAGAGAGAGCAAAAGACAGTAGAAGGCCTAAGGCCTATAATTTTATTTCGTATTTTAAATTCTTCGTATTTTTGATTTTCCATAGAAGCTTTTTGAAAAATGTCTCGTTTGAATAACGATACGAAAAATCTCGTATCGTTATAAAATCATGATTGACAGCGAGAATAACGATACGATATGCAGTGCTTACAAGCTAACTAGATGTTCGTCATTAGTGTGAATTTTAGGAGTTGAGGATGAATTGATGAAAAAGTGAGATGACCACCGAGACCAACCGGTTGTGATGCTACTGGTATCCATGGCTGACACTGGTGTGTCCCGACCTGACGCATGTCTCGATCTTAATGATTTGTTGTTGCTGCTGCTGTTGTTGTTGTCCTGTTGTTGTTGTTGTTGTGGCGCCGTGTTGCCTCCAACTTGCTGCGAAAAGTAGTTGAACCTCGACGATGACGTCACAGATCCAGTCGGCGATGATGACGACTTTTCAAAATTAGTTGAACTCTGCGCTCGCTTTATGAAACGATTAGCGACAGACGCCATGTTGGCACCGGAAATACCGTCGCCAAAATTCACGCCACCGCTATTGACCTCTTCGTCCACGTGATCTTCTGGCAGTTCCTGATTGGTTAGAAGGCTACCAATCATCGTAGTGGTCAGTCCAGCGTCCAAACCTGCTGGCCCACTGATTGGTCGAACCCGTTTCGATTCACAATTCTCCGGGTAGAAGCCTGTGCAGGGGTTGGTTGAATGCTGTAACAATAATGAAAGAATTGATGATGATGATGATGATAATAAGCAACAATAAAACAGCGCACCTTCGACCGTTTTGACGTATCTGTCACCACTACTGGAGACGGCGATGAAATTTTGTGACCTGAGGTTAGGGGGCGTGGAAATGGACGGATGATTGACAGATGATTGTAGCTGATGTTGAGATTGTATGGAGATCTTTCGCGATTTGTTGGCGCTTGTTGAACGGCCTGTTGCTGTATTAACGTTGTTGTTGTTGTTGTCGCTAGTGATTTGTTGAGCCTCTAGACATTGCAGCTGTTGTTGATTTGCAACGCTAATGTCTTGCAGCTGTTGTGGTAGCTGATGTTGTTCAGATGAATCTTGTTTAGTTAACGACGACGAACGTTGCTCACGTTGTTGCTGCTGCTGATTGTACTGATGCAATATCTCCAACCTCGACTGCAGTAGATCAGTTCTCTTCAGAACATTCTCAGAGCATGGCTTGCAGAGATAGAAATAGTCTCCCATCTTCACTAACTGGTACTTGCTGACTCTCATCTTCTCAAATAACTGCGAACGTGAAGTGAAATAAAGACAGTTTTTTTCAAGAATTAAATTAATTAAATTAAACTTTAAATAAATTAAATTCTGAATTTGCTGGACGATATATCTATTAAAAACACGACAACAACGAATCGAGATATCAAAAAAGAAAAAACACATCAAATATAAATCTATTAAAAAGAATAAAAGAAATAAATTTAAAAGTAAACTCAAATGAAAAGACACGAGAAGACAGAAACCAACACTAAAAAATAGGCCTAAACTCTTCTCCGGCCCGAATACGAATTTAAGTAGCACCGGACTATACAGACAGGTGTTGTACTGGTAATGTTGTTGCTGATGTTGATGATGGTGATGATGATGATGATGTTGTTGCTGCTGCTGCTGCTGCAAGTGATGACGGTGGCCAGGAGCCGTTGACTCGCTCACGTGACTAACAACGCTGAGTAGCGTCTTCTCAGAAACCGGGAAAATTGCCCGACTGAACGATACGATTTCATCCCTAAGTAGCCATTTAATCTGAGAAATTTTTTTAAATTTTAAATTATGACTAAATTAATTGGAAAAACAATAGCGTAGCGGTAAAGTGACTGGTGACGCGTGTTGCAGCGATTAGATTCGAAAGCAACTAGATCACTGTTTATCGTAACCTATGCATGCTTGGTTCAATGCTTTGACCGTGAATTCTTCAGAAGTCCAAACGTGTATAAATCGACGCGTGAAGCGCTATACAAATCAGGCAAAAGAGTAAAAGTAAACAAGCAGAATAAAAATATGAATAATAGATAAAAAGAAACACTAACCAAATTCTGGCAAATAGATACAGACCACTTCTGATATATTGGCAGGTGTCCAATGACACGATTCTCGAACCTGTTTCATTAATAATAATAATAATAATAATAATAACAAAAATAATAATAATTATTATTATTAAAATAATCAACATCTTCATCATGACTAACCCATCTCTTGTTGTAATGGCGCTCTCTTTGACAGTATCACTCTGGCAACTTCCCACATAGAGACCATCATCATCACCACCAGCATCGTCATCATCATCATCATCGTCGTCGTCATCATCACTCACTTCACCATCGTCGTCATCATCATCGGTAGTAGAATTGGTGGCGTTTTTGCCTTTTTTAAGCCCGCCACCACCACCACCACCACCATCGTCGTCGTCTTCATCTTCATCATCTGTGAAATCTTTATTGAACTTGTGCATGTCAATTGAGCTTAGGTGATAATATCTGGGCCTCTTTAGAGTTTGACCTTCATCGAACGAGGTCAAGGACAAACAGTGGAGGTCAAGGGTCACTTTGAAATTTGATTTCAGATCACCGAGTGGTCTGTCCTGAAATTTCAGCAGGAGGTCTTTGATGGTTGCTGTTTTGACGGGTTCATTGAAATTGGAGTTGATAATTTGTTAAAACCGGTCCATTCCGGGCTTGTAGTTTCAATATAATTTTCATCAAAGTTTCAATGTTGATAGTATGTTTGTACGTTCACACGTTCTATATATCTATATGTAACATTATACATCTATATTTAACCTATATATTTATATGCAGCCTTATACAGCTTTATATGAATCCTTATACATTGAAACGTACTCTAACCTATGCAAACAGGTGGCGACTCGACTTGGTCGCTTTGAACGCCGCCACCCATGCGGACAGAACAAGAGAGGTTCAAAAACAAAGGACAGGAGTTGCGAGCCTGGGACAAAATCTTCGCTGCCATCGTCTGCTCAGTTTTAGCGTTCTCGTTCGAGTCAGTTGATGCTGAATCGAAGACAAAATCGGACCCAGAGTTATTTTTGGGGTAGAAATAGGGATGTGTTGATGAGGCAGAGAAATATTGTTCCTCACTCAACGGTCGTACTTCAGCCTCCCAATCTTTTTCAGTCGAAAAGAAAATTAACAATATTTAATCAATCAATCAATCAATCAATCAATCAATCAATCAATCAATCAATCAATCAATCAATCAATCAATCAATCAATCAATCAATCAATCAATCAATCAATCAATCAATCAATCAATCAATCAATCAATCAAATCAATCAATTAGTTAATCAATTGCAAGTCATTATCATCATAAGATATCACCATAATATAGAATCATCTTCAGCATATAGCTAAAAGTAACTAACCTGATAAAGCGGTGCTACTGTCCTTACCAGGTGCACCTGCACTTGATTTGGGTGCGTGCGTCCTTTGTAGTTGTTTTGGCTGTTCGGTACCGTAGTAGGAATTGACTGTGTGCGATTGGAACATCATCTTCATTATTATTATTATTATCATCATCGTCGTCATCATTCAAATTACGATAACCAAAACCAGCTATCACCGCCATCATCACTATCACCGCCATCATCACTATCATCATCATCGTCATCATCATCAATACTTTTGTTGATTGCATGCTCTATCGCTTCTTGATCTGGCTCGCTACTAAAACTTTCCTAAATTTTAATAAAAATTATAGATAATTAAAATATAATAAAATAATTAAATTAACTAATTAATCAACTGACCAATCACCATGCAAACCAACTGACCAATATGGTCCTAAGTTGAGGCGATTGGCAGCAGAAGAGACAGCGCGGCTGTGATTGGACGGGCTTGAAATGCTGGGAGATGATTCTATTGAAGCGTTCCTTCACCGAAGCATACAGGCTCTCAGCTGCTTCGCACACGTGACTATCCAGCAACACGCCAACCGTTGCTTGCTGCTGTTGCTGAGTGCTGCTGTCGAGATGGTGGTGGTTGTGGAGATCACGTGTGACAATGATGATGACGTAATGAGAACGACGACGACGATGATGATGAAGATGATGTAGTGATGGCAAACTAACGAGATGATAGCAACAATGATGGTTGTGGATGTATTATTTCTTATGTGTTGAATATCGAGTCAGAAAAACATTTATTTATACATGATAGCAAAATTATTGCTAGACCAGTTGACTGATTGAGTGATTGATTAACTAATCGAATAAATGAATGAATGAATGAATGAATGAATGAATGAATGAATGAATGAATGAATGAACGAACGAATAAATGAATGAATGTTTGATTAACTAATTGAATGAATGAATGATAGCTTGATTGATGAATTGATTGACCGCTCGAATGATTGAACGATTAATCAAAGCAAACAACTAACCTAGAGGCAGTGCAGATATTTGCACTCACAATAAGGTCATCAATGGTGTAATCAACCTCAACACCAACACCATCACCCCTGCAATCATCATCATCATCACCACCGCCAGCATCATTATCAGCAGCAACACTCGTCTGGAAAAACTTGTCGCCGGTGCCGCCGCTGCTATTACGACAGGGCGTAGAACTTTCGAGAAGCTGCTTCATTCGCTGGCAGGAGTGTCTCAGGAATTCCGTGATGTCGATTTCTATTGGCCAGGACTCCTCACAGACGCTGTCGATGGCAGAATGGATGTCTTTGTTGTTGACCTGACTACCGTTGCGTAGGCATTCGTATAAGGCTGTTCGTCGTCGTCGTCGTTGTTGTTGTCGGGGTGAATTACAACAATAAGGTTATTTTGTTTGTTTGTTTGCTTGTTTGTCTATTTGCTTCTTCATTAATTTATATATGTTTGTTTGTTTGTTTGTTTGTTTGTTTGTTTGTTTGTTTGTTTGTTTGTTTGTTTGTTTGTTTGATTGTTTGTTTGTCTCAGACACGAAAGGACGAAAAAAAAATCTAAAAAACTTAAGACAATGCAAATAAATTCTCACAATGAAGCATGACAATATAAAAACGCCATCAAAACTAACAGATTATAAAACACCAAAGGTACCAACAAACACCAAAGATAGTAACAAACACCAAAAGAAAGTAGCAAATAACAAAGAAACTAGCAAACACCAAAGATACTAACAGATGACGAAACATCGTAGATAGGTTTCAGAAATTGAAGAACAGTGTTTACGCAGTTCATCTTGATTCTTGTACAGATCCTCGCTCGCCTTCTTCCATCTCTCTCTACTGCCTGAACTCTCACATTCGCTCTCCTTCCTGTTGCTCTCCACCAGACAGGCTACCCTCTTCGGTGATTGGCTGAGTTCTGAGGATTTTGAGTGGCTGCAACTCATATCGTCCTGTGATTGGTCGAGCGATTGATCGAGTGATTGAAAAAAATGAATGAAGGATGCTTGATTAACAGAACGATTGACTAAAGGGTAATGACAGAATGGATGGGAAGATGGATGAACAAATGAATGAATGAATGAATGAATGAATGAAAGAAAGAATAAATTATATAAAGAATTGGATGAAAGATTAAAGGAACAAAGGAGCAAATGAACAACAACAACCACACAACGTCTGACAACAGAAGAGCACCTCAAAAGTCAAATCTTCGTAAAGATCTGGAATCTTCTGCGTGGTTCGAAGATTTAGCAGCAAATCCGAGAACGTAGTAGTAGAGCAGTTGTACACATAAATAGGTAGCACAGGACCGTACCAATAATTGTACGAGGGGTGTTCAGGTATGAATGAATGAGGACTTTTCATATTGGCATCATCTTCTCCGTTCAATTTCACACTTTCTGCAACCGGTTCGTCTTTTATAAGTTCGTCGCTATTTTTAGGTACACTGGAAATCCCCACGCCGTCCGTATTAATTACGGTAACGTTGCAAGTTTCGACGTTTTGCCTATTAGTTTTATCATCCCCAGAAGCAATAACAACATTGGATTTATTGTTAGTGGTGGTTATTTCAGCACTAGGATCAAGTAATTTGAGTAGGTCCTTGTAACTTGCTGGTACTAACGTGATGATGAGGTTTTGTTGAGCTTGTTGTTGGCTGCTTGTTGCTATTGTTGATGTTGTCGTTTGTTGATGTTGTTGTTGTTGGTGGTGGTGATGCGAGGAGAACTTTTGGTGGTGTTCGTGTGGCTGGTGGCAGCGACGATTGAATGGCGGCTGTTGTTGCTGCTGGAAAGAGCTGAAAGTATTTCTTACATTCAGTTTCAATTAATCTGAAATAACAACAACAAGAACAACATCAATAACAACAACAACATCAACAATAGCAATAACGACGAAACAACAATAATAATAATAATAAAAAAAATACAAGTCCAACTTTTGATTTTCAGTTTTCAGCAGCTTCAAGTAGCACTTCCACAGAGGGGCATCGACCTTGACCCCGGGACAGCAGGATTCACACTCACTGACCTTGGCCCCGTTTAACGTCTGCTGCGAAGAAAATTCACTCTGAAGTGTGGTGGTCGTCGAGGGCTGCACGTGATCATCCGCGTCCACGTGACTGGCAGAATTAGTGCAATTAGGCAGAGTAAAGCCAATGGGGATCGGCTTGATGGTCTGATCTCTCTCTCGGGCTTTTAGGGATGTGATGAATTGTAAGCACTCTTCTGGTGTAAGGTTTAATTCTCGATCGTGAAGTGATTTCAGTTGTTCGTTGAGGAGAAGTAGCAGTAAGCTGTTTGGACTGAGTTTGGTGGGGTTGTTGTTGCTGCTGCTACTACTGGGCTGGTCGTCTTCAGTTTCGTTTGTCCATGTGCTTCTGCCACCTGATTAATTGGTTGGTTGGTTGGTTAGTTGTTGCTTTGTTGTCGTTGTTTGTTTGTTTGTTTGTATGGTTGCTGTTATAGGGAATGGATGTGTTTGGGATGGATCTGGCAAGTTGTGCATAGATGAGGAGGAAAAAGCTCAGGTGTGGAAAGCTCATATGGAAAGGTTGATGAATGAAGAGAATGAGTGGGATGGAGATGTGGAATCCGCGGTCACACACGGACCTATAGAGAAGGTGACGAGGGAGGAAGTAGAGAAAGCAGTTAGAGAAATGAAACTAGGTAAGGCGACAGGGGTTTCGGAAGTGGCGGCTGAACATATTAAAGCGAGTGGGGTGATAGGAATTGAAGTTATGATGAGAATTGCTAACAGTATGTTTGATGATGAAGGTATACCTGAGGATTGGCGACACAGTGTGTTGGTGCTGTTGTATAAGGGCAAAGGAGATGTGAGAGATTGTGGGTCATATAGGAGTGTGAAATTGTTAGAGCACGGAATGAAGGTAGTGGAGAGGGTGCTTGAGAGGAGGTTGAGAAATATGGTGACAGTTAATGAAATGCAGTGTGGGTTTATGCCTGGTAGGCGAACGGTGGATGCGTTGTTCATGGTGAGAATGTTGCAGGAGAATTATAGAAAGAAGAAACGAAGATTGTACATGTGCTTTGTGGATCTAGAAAAGGCTTTTGATCGAGTACCGAGGAAGGTCATTGAATGGGCGTTGAGGAAGAAAGGAGTGAATGACAGACTTGTTAAAGCNTGTGATGCAGCTGTATGAAGGGGCAAAGACAAAGGTGAGGGTTGGAAGGGGGATGTCGGACGCTTTTAGTGTGTG